GGATTTGTTCTTAAGCACTTTGATCAGGGCCTTGACTAGGGTAACCAGAAACATAAAACCAAAAGGAGATGCATCCTGGTCTTAATCTTACAGTGTAAATTGAGTGATGTTCCTGTTTCCCCCGCTTCCCTCCCAACCCCTTCTCCACACAACCACCATTTTGCTTTAGGACATCTCACAAAAGCAAGTGCAGATGCTTAACATCGAAGAGCGGCAGGGACCAGGACAGTTCTTCGTTCTCTCTGATAAAAACTCATTTGCTCTTTTACTAGTCCTTACTGATTCGGTTATATTGAACAGTGTGATTACTGTTCATTTAAACCCAGACCCCTGATTGATTTAACAGATGCCATGGGAGGTGCAAGGGCATTTCCTGGGGGATTAATGACCAGTTAGCTGGTCCGAAGTACATTAACCTGAGCTAGTTATTCATCTCCTTGAAGAGCCTTGTATTGGAGGCGGGCTTGTATTAGATCAATCGTAACCTAAAAATAAATGTGGAAATCTGGCCAGATTGCAGTGTGTCCAGCATGGGACGTGGCTGGCTCAGATTCATAGAACAGCTGCGTCAAGTGTAAACTAAGTTCCTTGTGTCAGGCATTAATGCAAATGGCTTTCCAGAGTCAGAGTGCAGATAAAACAAAGGAGGAAGATTTCTTCTGGCCAGAAAACTCTGACATGCCAGGCTTCTGCCAAAAGCTCCAAATCAGTGCTGGCTCTGTGGCTACAAATCAGTTGAAGTCAGTGAGTCTGCAAGTTAATGCTGCGTCCTACCTGTGGCCCTAGATCTTGATTCCACTCTTCTGTCAGGGAGCTGAGCCCCCACTCTGGTAGAGTATTTATTGGCTCTGACTTCCCAGTCATCAGTCCTTGTAATCTTTGTCGACCCTACTTAATCTCTTCTTTAGGATTACAACTTTTACTTTCCAAATATGGAGAAAGCCAGGGCATCTATTCGCAATCCTTCTTTTTTCTTTTTTTTTTTTTCTTTAGTTATTTTTTAGGTAAATTTAGGTACTGACTGGCAATAGGATCATGATTCTTGGGGACAGAAAAGCTTATTGTACTGGGACGGGAAAGATACACCAGGCAAGTAGATACTTGAGGTGAAATCCTTTCTCTACCCATTCATGCTTTTACCATAGTCCCAGTTGCTTTCCACTGGGTAAAAGTGTAGGAGCAATGTAAAGGGGCTCCAAAGGCATATCAGTGGGTGCATCTACATGTGAACTTTACTGCGGAGCTGTCTAATTAGCTGGGCAGTAAAGCATTACAATCTACACATGTGCTTATATTAGGGTGCAGTAAACTAACTCTGCTGTAGGATAGTACTGTTCGAGACAAATACTATCCTACAGGGAAGTAGTTGTCAGGGGTGGGCAATTATTTCGGGTGGAGGGCCGCTTACTGAGTTTTGGCAAGCCATTGAGGCCCACGTGACAGGCAGCCGGGGGCAGATAAATATTAATTTTCTTAATTTGGGGGGAGGGCCCGCGGACCGGATAGAATGGCCTGGTGGGCTGCATCCGGCCCCCGGGCCGCATTTTGCCCAGCTCTGAGTTACATGCACTGAAGTGCATGTATAGACAGTGACTGGGACTGGCTGGGGTACAAGGATGCTGCGTGGGGGCTGCCTGCCAGCTAGCCTCGTACTGTAGCACCCTCATGCACCAGCCAGCCCCTCTGCAGTGCATGAGTCAGTGTGGAGCGGCCCCAGGCTGCAGGCTGCTCCTCTCCTGGGTCCTCTGTCAGCCAGGGCTGCTCCAACCCAGGTCAATATGCTGCAGTCCCAGGCGCACATGTAAATGCAGCACCCAGGAGTAATAAATTCTGCCATAAATTGCACTGCAGTTGATTGCTATGTGCTAATTGCTGTTAATTGCTATGTGCTAGATGTGTGGTAACTTGGCAAACGCTATCTTTTTTTTATGATGGACTATTTTTAATGGATGTTCTATTAATTAAATTTGTATTTGACTATTAGCTTAACTTTGTTTAGAAAGCTCACATATTTTTACTCTCTCTCCAAATGTACCAGAATGATTTTATGCAAACAGATTTACAGCATTCGGAGGGAAAAAATCCCTAATGGCAAGCATGGTTACAGTTTAAACTCCTCTCTAAAATTAAGTCTGCCTTGTCTTCATGAACATGAGTTGTGTGATGATGCAAAAGACATACAGTTGTTTTTCTTTTTTGTTTCCAGATTGAATTTGGATTTCCTGAATGAAAGGCTTTTACCAGATTTCAAAACAAGATTGTGGAGAGAAGAGCAGAATGAGAGCTTCCCAAGCATCACATGCCTCCTGCTTCTTATCCTTGCTAATGCTATTCCTTCCAGTCACTGGAACTTCAAAACAAAATATCCCAAGACTTAAGCTTTCCTATAAAGGTAAACTCTTCAGAAAAGCTTTTAGTTCTGCCATTTATATTTTGGTTGGGTGCTGCCAGCAGTTCATTTTTGTTACGTATTAAACAACGAAATGGAACCCAGTTGTCCCCATTGTTTCTAAAGATACAAAGATAGAAATTCTGCTGGGGGAAAGACGCCTTAAACCACCTTCCTTTTTTAGGGGGTTGACTGCTAAAGGAAAGTTTCTCTGATTAATTTTTGAAGGGGCATAGTTTATAACTCTCCATAAGAACGGCAAAATAATTGTTGAACTTTGACTTGCTTTTTCCTTAAAACTAAAATGGCATTTATGAAAAACTGCAAGCAAATCACTGGGAAGGGAATTAGATGAATTGAGTCCTTGTGAAAAGCAAGAAAACAATTCCCGTACTTTCAAATACTTTCATGCAGTCTAACTAAATGTTTCCCTCTGGCTGCTGTTTCATAGCATGTCTTATTGTTTGATACCCTCTTTTCATTAAAGTTTGGGTAAAAGGTCAAGTACAATTTTCTGAAAAGTAGTTATGAACAAAATTATATTTTAGAGTTTTTTGATTGTGTGGCAGCTTATTTCCATATGAAATATGTTCAATTTATATAAATATATAGATGTTGGATTTTTATAGCTAGTGGTTGCACATTTTCATATCCTGGCTTTTTTCACTGATTTTTTTCAGACATTTAGCACACACTAAACATATTTTAGATCAGACAATATAGCAGTCATGCAACTCATCAATTTGTCTTCAATTTCTGTCACTGATAGCAACCATAAGAACGATGAATTTAACATAGAAATGCATTAAAATGTTTTGTGAGTATGATCATCTGATATGTGGCCTGTTGTTGCTCCTTATGCACAGAATACTTGCAGAGTTTAGCAAGATCATCCCATTAATATTCACAACTTTACCTGATGATATCTTAGGTAGAATAACAATTCTATAGTTAGTTGTTTTAAAATCATGTCAGCGCCCTGTACTTAGGGGAAGTGATTCTGCATTCAATCACATTGACAAAATCCTTTCTCAGCATGTAACCGATGGTAGATTTAGGTTCATGAGGATCTACAATGATGAGAGACCATAAAACCATCATTAGAGAGTCCAGCGTGTTTACTGTAAGCCATAACATGTACAAAGATTTATTGAATAAGTATTGTTTTATATGAAATGCTGTTTACAAGTTTCTCTTTGGCATTCCTTGCATTTGTATGCATGCGCATATACGCGCATTTGTATCTCTGTACATCCATTTATAGGAGTGTGCAAGAGACAGAGTTTAACAGTTTGTGTGTAATTTGAGGAAATACAGTCATTTAAGCCAACAAACAAACTAAAAGATCCAACACTGAGTTATGGATATTAATAGGAAGAAAGCTCTGCTTATATTCAAACTTTTCTTTCAGTGCCCCACTGGATTTTAAGCAGTGCCCTAAAGTTAAATATTGCCTCTGAAGAAGGTGTTTGCTGTGGGATTGAGCATCCTGATTAATGAATTCCTCTGTATTTCAAAGATAGCCAACTACCTGCAAAATTATAATGGACACAGTTGGTGGATAGGAGAAAAGATAAAAGATCATCAAGGTCAGCATAGGAAAAAAAATATTTACTGGAATATTATTTTAAAATAGTGAAAGAGATTTGCTAGGAGTGGTATGGAAAATGTCTGACTCATTCTTAAAAAAAGACAATGCACAGATGATTGATATGGAAGTCCTACACCAAACTTTTATTAGCATCTTCATAAAACTTTGGGTTTGGTCAGCGGGATAGGTTTTATTCAAGCTCACCCGCCAAACCCTGCAGGAAAAACAACACAGAGGGGGAGAGAGACAGAGAGATAAGCTAACATGCAATTCCAAATTCAGAGAGTTGGGCAGAGACAGATGAGGCAGGCGTGTAATTAAGAATACTGATTGCTGTGTTTACTCTTCCTTTTAATGTAGAAGAAAAGAGTGAAACAAAATTAAAAATAAGCAAAGAAAAGAAGCCATTATTTAAAAGTTTCTGAGTTTCTAAGGCTTCTGGATAGTAAAGGAGAGAGATGAAGAATAGAGGAATGATACTCATCCAATGCACCAAATGCCCTGATGGAAGATATGTAGGAGAGACCAGACAACAACTGCGCACCAGAATGAACGCACACCGGAAATCCATCAAAGACAGAAACACCCAATTACCGGTGGGGGCACATTTCTCACAGGAGGGCCACTCTCTCTCCAATCTCTCAGTCCTGATCCTCAAGGGAAATTTACACAACACATCCCAGAGACGAGCCTCTGAGCTCCATTTCATCAACCTGCTGGATACTAGAGATCAGGGACTAAACATAGACATTGGATTTTTAATACATTATAATCTGCCTGGCAACTGACTCCCCAGCCCAGCCCAGCCCAGCCCAGCCCCTGGCTTCTTTACTTTTCATTCCATCCAGGAAGAGCACACACCAACTGCTGCAGCTTCCTGAGCCTGACAAAGGGTTTTTGAACCCGAAAGCTTGCTTAATAACTATTCTCCAACCATTTGGGTTGGTCTAATAAAAGATATCAAATTCACCCAAGGAACCTTGTCTGCCACTCATCCTTCATGCACTCAGTGTACACCTGTAATCTTCATACCACCCAATAGAATTAAATGGGTTGCATCAGTTGCTTATGACTTTTGAGTTTAGTTTCTAAGACTATGAAGTAACTTTGTAACCCATTTGTAGGAATGTCAGACAGTTGGGTCACCAGTTGCGTGTGCAAGAAAAACTGGGCTGGTTCCTATAATTCAGAGGGCACCATTTGTCAACTGATTATTATATTTACTCAAATCTAGAATGAGTCGCCCCCCCCCTCCCCTCCCCAGCCCATTCAGTATGAGAAGGGAGGGGACCCTTGTCTTTAGATTTGAGTGTGAACCAGGCAGGCAGTTGCTGCAGGTCCAGTTGGGGCAGGGTGGCACATGCATCAGGATCGGGATGCATGGAGAGGGGGGAGTATGAGGGAAGGGGGGGTCACAGTGCAGGGGATGGCATGGAGGGAAGGGGTGCATGGTGCTGGGGGGAGCACAGGGGAGGATGTGCAAGTGAGGGGGGTGCAGGGAAGGAGGCACGCAGTGCAGGGAGAGTGCATGGGAAAGGGTGTGCAGTGCTGTGGGTAGCATGGGGAAGGGTGCATGGTGCAGGAGAAACATGGAGGACATTGCAGCAGGGGGCATGTGGGGGAAAGGATGCACTAAGTGAGGAGAGGACAGAGAAAGGGTCCACAGTTTAGGGAGAAGCATGGGGGAAAGGAGCACACAGAGCCAGGGGAAAGTGAGGATAAGGTGTAGAGAGCAGTAAGGGGAGCTGCTGCAGCTCTAGCCCTGACCCCAGTCCATGCTGAAGCCTGAAGCCAAAAGCTTTGCTACTGACTGGCCTAGCCACATACTCTGTGCCCCCAGCACAGGCAGAGGCAGAGCAACTGCAAAGGAAAGTGGCAGGGGAGAGGATGTGGGAAAAGGGAAACAAGGGTCATGGGGCAGGCTGCCTGCCTCCTAACCACAGCTTTCCCTGCCGCTGCTTTCCTTCTGCAGTGGTGTGGGATATAAATTGAGGCCTCTCCAATAACTAGACTCTAGACACGGAAAATTATAAATCTGTTTTATTTCCCATGTCTAGAATCTAATAAATTGGGGAGAAGGGTCATATTAAATTTGAAGTCACGTTGGATTTGGGTAAATATGGTCATTTTGAAGATATACAGATACTTGTGATGGTAGTTAAACAATCCTTATGTGTTCAAACATTCATTTCCATGAGATAATTTTGGTATCCCTGCTTTATAGTGACTCTTCAGTAAGTGATCTAGTTTCCATTTTGGGTGGAAAATATAGTGACACCTACAATTAAAGGTACCTGACATTTGCCATGACAAGACCATGTGTTCATTTGCTTATACATTGACCAAATCTTTACTCTTTAGACTGAAATTTGACATAATACACGTTCTACCAACACTTTGAAATTGTTATTCTTTTCAGCTTAACCAGCTGTTTCACCAGTAGTCTTAAACCCATTTCATTGAAAAGTTTCTAGTCCCTCAATTTTGAAATATGACAGAAAACCTGTATTGTTCCTTTTTGGAAAACACCTACATTTTAAAGAGTCCTTGAAAAACTGCTGTTCGTGCAGTTAAATTCTGTAAAGATTAGATCTTTAATGGATGTGCTCAGCCTTTCTTCATCGTTTCATCCAGTCTCTTGCTAGGACAGAGCATGTTCATACTCATATTGCAACTGAGCATACAGTATTTTGGGACTGTGAATCCTGAGCAGGACTTTCCCTAGAATTACTGTCCCTGAGAAATGTAAACTGCTGGACTGTTGGGCATAGGAACTGAAAGCAGGGAAACTATTTGTTATGTATTTTGAAGGCCTTCCTTCTGGGAAAAGGAAGAGGAAGCCACTTGCTAGTAATATAGAGGGGTGAGGAAGGTGCCAGGGAATGGGAGAAGAATAATACACTGTAATGAGATACAGAAGATATTAAAGAAGCCAAAGCATGGAGGAAGAAGGGAGAGGGTTATGTTACTTTAAACTGAGACCATACTAAGGGCACTTGAAACACAAGTGTCCCCATATTAAAACTCATCAACTCAGGGGTGGGCGACATATGGCCTGTGGGCCAGATTCAGCCCACTAAATGGTTCTATGTGGCCCATGGCTGCTTTTCTGAGGGAGGAGAATCATGTCCAGCCCATGGCTGCCCTGCTTGCTCTTTTCCCTTCCCTGTGCCATAGCCGCCTGCAGCAGCAGTAGCAGCTCCAGTAGCCAGGCAGCCGCTCCCTGCCCTGCTGCCCACCGGTGGTCCAAGGCAGGGGGTGTTGGGCTCCTGGCCAGCGAGGATATCTGTGCACAACTCAGACCCTGCAGCCATTCACAGACCAAACAGCCCTGCCCCTGGCAAGAGTCAAAGCTCAGGTATGGCGAGGGTGGGGGTGCGGGGGGGGAACAGGAACAACAGGTTATCTGGGT